CACACAGTGTGAAGTTTCACCAACTGAAAGATAAAACAGGCACACTACAGATGAATGCATGTATGCACAATGACCCACAAGAGCAGAATACAACAACACTCAACAACAAAACCAGCGACTGAGATGAATGTGGAGCAGGTGAAAGAGATAACACGGGTGGCAGTTATCACGCTCGCCTGTGCTGTGGCGGCCCCAGCCGAGCGGATGCACTGAGTTCCTGTTTGAACAGCGCTGGAAGCCTCTTCGTTCTCCTGCTGCAGGAAAGGTGCTCGCCACTGGTTGAAAGGAAACTTCATGCATACGAGAAGTTTTGGATGCATCACTGCAGGGGTGCAATGAATCAAAAGGCAGAGATCCATGTGTGGGAGATTAAAGTCCCAAACAGAAACACGAATATGAAAAATAGTCAAACTTCAAGCAGAGGTGGGAGGATTTGAGAGAAACGGAATCAAGATTTGGGCAGAAAAAGAGACCCGTAAGAAAAAAGAAAACGAAAAAAACAGACGCTATCGTGAGGTCTGAAAGATTACATCGCATCGATTTAATCTTTTCTTTTTTGAACATCTAAAACTGAAAAGTGATCTCAAGCCAGGGTAAAAATATTTAAGACTGCGTCTGTTTTAGTCTCTGCAAGTGGTAAAAGATGGACTTTCACTATGCTTTATAATAAAGCCAGGAACAATGACATTCATACGCACACCTATGTAATCCATTTAACCTGTAATGAAAACGTCCTGGAGTCATCCTGACACAATCTCCTTTTATGTCCCTTTTATGTTCATTTTCACCAGCTTTACCTTCTTACCCTCCTCTCAGGGCTTCCTGTGTCAGGGTCTCATTGTCTCATCCTGTTGTGTTTTAAGTATAACCAGTCATATGTATCCATTCTCATTTTTGTAATGATTAACATCCCTTTTTTCCCTCCACCCTCCCTGCCTGTCATACATTAAGCTATTTCCAAAGGAGCATGACAGAAGAGGTAAAATGAATAAAGAAGAATTATTAACAGCTAACTGCGGCTCCACCAGATCACTGAGTCACACTGAAAGCAAACGGGGTAGAAGGAGGTGTTGCTTGAATTTCAGCTTTAGATTCCTGTTTGTATTTGAATTACATTTACATTATATCACATTTAAAGTTCAACAAACTCCCCGGTGAAAACACTTTTCTGAAGTTCAATAAATGCATGATGCTTGGTAGGTTAATTATTGTAGAAAAAAATGGTACATTTAAACAAAAGTCTGCAAACAATCTGCGTGTGGAAACATAAATTCATCTAAACGAATAAATGATTGTTTCCCAGACTGCCAAGACTCTGCTGGGAAAAGCACAGGACAGTTATTAGATGGTGTTTTCTTTCCTGTAGTAACCTTGCAGTTTCAATACAATATGTATAAAATCTGACAAGTGCCTGATATGCTGTAAGTAAACAGAAGTGAGAGTGGCAGCTGGATGAGAAGCTGCAGGGAGGTGGCAGCAGTGGTCAGGGTCCTCAGACTTGTTTGCAAGTTCTCTGACGCGTTATGTTTGGCAGTCAGGGCAGCGATGAGAGAGACTGCTAATCAAAGAGAATAGTTTACAACACATTTGTTTGCAGTGTGACAGCTGAAAGATTTCAGTCCTGACAGGTAAAACAAGTAGCTGAGCGAGGGCTTGCACTCCTTCGGGAAACTGTCATAAATACTGCAGCTTCAGCTCCTCATCGGCCGGCACGCCAGAGCTCTGACGCTAAGATAACACATCGTAGTTGTGAATTAACGGTGTTCGATGGTGTTAGTGACGGAGCAGCGATCGAAGTCCTGCACATCGCCACATGCTCGGCCACATTTCACATGACAAACAATCATTTGAAAGGAACATGACAGTTGTGATGAAAGCTGTCTCTGCAAATGTCTGTTTGTGTTTGCTTGGCCTTACATCATAATGTGCTGCATGTATCGACTCCGTGACTTATTGGACTATTTGTCAAAATGTGCAACGCCCGCTGATTGTTGCGCTGCAGAAAGCAGAATGTACATCTATAAATACAAAGCACGCCCCTACGAACGATGTCGTGTGTGGATTGTGTGTCACAAAGAGGCGACATTTTCTGTGGTTGTTGCCTTTGAATTTTATAATTGAGTTGAATGTTCGGGAAAATGAAGCGTGACTGGCAGGTGGAAAAATTCAACATATAATTAATGCTACAGCTTTGATTACATTTTGCCAGCTTGAAAAATGACATTTGCAATTACACAGTTCTGTGAGCTACGCTGCCGTCTGCTGCTGGTCCTATTGTGTTTGAATAGTTCAGCGGTGGCTTCAGAACAGGAGGTTCTGCTCCCCGACTCAGGTGGGAACCATCGGCATGGAGATCTGGGTAAAAGCTGATCTCTTTAGAGAACAATAACACCAGACGGCACTAAAACGCCAGCTTCTCATATAAATGAGTATTTATCATTTTTATGCTGTAAATGCATAGTTGAGCAAAAAAGAAAACACAGTCTTAATGTTTTAAATCACAGAAACACAACGAATAAATCGCGTATGTGAAGCAAAGTTAAGCTCCAACATTTTGCATGCTGTGGGAATAAAAAGCAACTTTTCAATCTTTCTTTCTAAAAACAGTAAGTGTGACAGAGACAGTTTCCTGCTGACAGAGGCCTGAATGAAACACACCGTGGGGCTTTCACACGTTGAGTAGGAGGATTGCTCTAAACTGACACACGGTTATTCATTGTTTATGCAGTCGGTTTACCTCAGGTATATTACAGGTGTTCAAATCAGACACAGACACACTCAGTAAACAGAATAAGAGAAAGGAGAAAGCCGACTGGGCTCCCAGGGAGCTGGATCTCTTAGTTGGACTGCACTGAATTAAGCTCCACTTACCTCCACATGTTTTTGGTGTATTTAGTCAGTTTTAAGTCACAGATGACTCATTTAGTCATTCTCACCTGGACTACATAACTGGAGCCGCAACTGTGAACGTGACTGAGTGCTGTTATACTTACTGGACTGAGCTGTCCTGCATTCAATAGGCTGAGTGAAGACGCCTAAGCCCATCTCAGATCGGGCTGCCAGGGAGAAGACGTACAGCGTGTCTGGCTTCAGACCATCGACTGCATAGGAGCCTGCTGCATCGAAAGTGACGCGGTGCTGTGAAGAGACGAAAGAGCACAAGGTCACGAGGGCAAAAATGAAGCCAGGGCCTGATTGGTCTCAACACAATGGAGTCTGCAGACAAAGCCTGGAGCTTCTCGAGGAGGCCGAGCAGCCTACCTGCCAAGCTCCTTGTAACATTGACGAGCTGGTGCAGTAAAGAGAAGTGGAGCTCTTTTCAGCATGCTTGCCTTGTACAGTGGCCAAGCAAAGCTGTCACCTCTCCACCCACAGCTCTGCTCTCACTGTTTCAGCCCTGAATACGCTGCAGTTTGTCTCAGCTTCTCTCTCTTCACACGTACACTTTAGAAAAACAGTATTGCACGAACAATAAGGTTTATGATTCGATGCAATATGTGACCAAATGATTGTAACTTTTCGTTACTGCCATGACTGTTTCTCGTGTGCCTTAAATCTTTCTCAGTTACTTAGTGCAGAGATTTTGGGCAACAGGCAGCTGTTCTTGGAGTTTGGTGGTTGGCATATTTTTCTTCCTGAGATAAACGCTGGTGTTGTTTAGGGCTCGTAATATGAACCTGTGTGTTTTAAGCCTGTGTCTGTGGGAAACACCCACAACTACTGAAAAACCTGTCAATGACATCATATTAGGGGAATCATAGGAGGGACTTTTTTCTTGTTTTTGTAGTGGAGGAGGTGCATCACACCACAGACAGTGTAGTTCTTGATGCACAACAGCCATCAGCTCATCCAAGCTCTGTTTTTGTAATAGATCAAAATTACAGCAAAACCCCTCCAACTCCAGTCGCTTCAAAAATATGGAGACTGGGTTTTGATTATCGATTTATCGATTAAAATCAATTCTGGCTTGGATAACGTGATATCGATTCATTAAAACCCTGAATCGATTTTTTAAAATAAATTTATTTTGGCCTAAACGCCAGAATCTCAGGTTAAACCTCACAAAATTTCAACAGCCACCAAACAGCTAAAGAAGAGAGCAGGAACACGGAGTCTGCACAGAGACGTAAACACAAAGCTCGACCCGCCGACGCATCAGGATCAGTGAGCTCTGACTTTCTCACCGACGGCACGGACACGGTCGGGGCTGAAAGCCGACGGCTCGATGATTCTGATGTTTCGGCGGCGCTTTGTGTTCACGCCCTTTTTGCGCTGATTCTGAAGCTGTTAGTTTGATCTCTCTCCAAACAACATTGACTGAACCAGCAGCCAAAGAAGATCCAAACTGCGCTTCACATAAACATCGTCATGAATTCACTCTTAGCTTTGCTGTTTTGCTTCCACCAGGATAAAATCTCACTTCAAGCACAGCTCTCTCTCTCTCTCTCTCTCTCTGTACTGAACAGTTTCTTAAAAGTTTGTTTTCTTCATTATTCGCTTGCTTGTTACGCACAAGTCTACCGTTCTTACAGCCTGTCGGCCGCTGTTTTTTCCTTTTACTTACTTCCGAAAACAAAGCCTCATTTCTGCTGTTCAACACTGAACAAATTTAAACTTTTTAAAATTATGCAAAATTGCAAAACGCTGTGTCTCTAATCAAACCTCTGTAACTTTGCTTCACTTCAGCAGCATCAGGTAATGTTCATGTGTTGATTGATAGTTTTTTTCTGTTTTTGATCTGCTGCAGAATATTTTTATAAATCCCAGACCAGGAAAATCTCCTTCATGTTTTATCCTCAGTTACTCTGACACAGAGGCGTCGGCTGTGACGCTCACAGCTTTGATAAAGTCTCGCAAGTGTCAGCTTCCTTTTTATAGATATAAAAATATGGAAATGTACTGATGCATGATCTGAATTATAATAATTCTGACTGTCTGATGCAAAATTTCCCAGATTCAAATCAAATCGAATCGAATTGGGGATCAAATCGATTCGGGACCTTGTGAATCACGCAGCTCTAATGGAGACTGTGGCATAAAATCACCCAGACCTCCTCGTGGATAAATCACAGCAAGAAGTGTTCGTGATGTGATGACATTTATCAAACCTGAATAAAGTGCAGACACTTTGAACTTACTAAAAAGACATTAATGCAAATACACAGCCTGAAGCACAGCATAGCTCCTAGCCAATAAAGATTTTACAAGCAACATCTCAGTGGAAAGAAAAGATTTCTAAGGGGGTATTTACCTTGTCTGTGGGATTGTTGGCTTCCCAGTACACCAGTTCAAAGCTAATGATGGGTTCCTGGACAGGCCAAAGCCATGACAGCATGATGCGTGAGTCTAGCTCAGCCTCACCGTCAAAGTCAGACGGCTGAGCTGGAACTGCAGGAGGAAACAAAGAGATGTGTTAAGATGGAAACACAAAGTGTAAGAAAGTAGAGGAGTAAAGCAAAGCTGGGCGAGGACCTGCCCCTGCCAGGAAATCCACATTTGTTGTTTCGAACAGGCAGGTAGGTAAAATCCTGGTGGCACATCTATTCACATCATGAATAGATGTGCCAACAACTCAGGCTCTTCCTGCACTGCTTTCATACATGTACAAAGAGTCATCGCTACATTTCCGGGTGAAATTATGCCAGCAAAGTATAGAAAACCAACACCTGCCATGAACCAGTAAATTCTTGGAAGCAAGAGCTATATGTATGCAAAGAGGTTTAATATGTTCCAAGCCCTGTAACAATAGAGTTAAACTCAAAGAAGTTAAAATTCTAGACAATGAAAAAAGTATTTAAGTTGAAATATCTTGTGTCAGCCTGTGAGAGTCCTGAACTCATTTCATTTGCAGCCCGGGTATGGCGCCATGTTTCGTCCTGTCAGGCATAGCTCACTGTAAAAGATGCTGTCTGTGACTAAAGCACCAGCCTGTCCTTGAACATAAGGCAGGTGTAGCCTTAGCAAAGAAAATGATGCGAGCCAGAAATGAATTCTGTGCAGTTGTGCTGGTAACAGTGAGGTTTATGCCCACATTTACCACAAGCTCAGGCTGGCTTTACCCTGCTCTTAGTGCGGGCTTGTACAAACGTCTGGGCTGCCTGACAGCAACCTGACGCTGACATCTCTTCTTATAAAAATAAATATAATGCAAACGTGATTTCGTTATTTTTTTAATCCTAAAAATCACAAGAGATTTTTCAATAGAACCAAGATGACCTCAAAGCCAGACTTATAACAAAAAGAGTGCACTACTGTATATATCATTCATTCATAACTAGTATCACCCTGTGATGCTGGAGTCCAAAGTGACAGCAACTGTTTTCAGAACAAAACTTTGCCTCACACCAAACAGTTAGCAATATAAAGCACGAGTCTCTGCACAGACACGTGCAGCCTAACTCAGCTGGTCTTTAATCTTCTAGCTCTCTACTACAACGTCACTGTGATGCCGGACTGTGCCGACGTGGGAGCGGCGCAGCTAATACGGTAGCTCAGTCCATTCACTGCTAATGAGCGAGTGGGTGGCGAGTGCACTGCCTCTGGCTCCCTCTGTCCAGGGTGAAATATTCCAAGCACCACCAATGGAGCTGAAGCGGAGCATTTCCTGCTGTGTGCTACATGTGAGGAAGGAGAACTTTGGAGAATATCCCAACCTGATTTTCAAAATAAAAAAAGCCTGATGAGTGAAAATGGGTGTGATTTTTTTTTCTAAATACATCTCAATCACGAGATGCTTCATGAACTGGCACAGCCATCAAAACTGTAACGAGACCTGAAATATAATTTTACCAAACAGCACATTATGGAACACAAATGTTGTTTAAGACAAGAGCTGAATATTAATGTGAAGAAGTGTTTAAGAGGACGTAAATGCTCGAGTTGTAACTTGCTTATGCAACAGCAGGCAGCGTTTGCTAACACGTGCACACAGTAAATGATCTGAATAACTCTTCACCTCACCAATAATCGGAGCCAGGCGCACGCTGCTTATGATACATTGCTCTGCAGTGATGTAGTGAGCATGTTCTCACCTCCCTGCCTGGTTTTGATCTGTAGAGTGTCAGACGGAGGCCCATCTCCCACTGAGGTGAAGCCCAGCACCCTCAGGCTGTAGGTGATATCTGTTGCCAGGCCTGAGATGGTGGTGAAATGGCTGTCATCTGTGTTGTGCTTCTGCCAGGCGCTGAGCGGGGCATCGTGATCTGCGCTGTAGTAGACCCGATAGCCCCGGATTTGGCCATTGGGCTCTTCGGGAGGCTCCCACTGGACCAGCATGGTGCTGGAGCTCAGCATGCGTGCCTGGACATGAAGAGGTGGTGATGAGGGTGCTTGCTCACTTGTACGGGTGTCCACGATGCTGCTGGGAGGACCCCGGCCAACGTTGTTCACAGCCATGACACGAAACTCGTATTCAGAGAAGGGGCTGAGGCCACCAATGCTGTAGCGGGTTGTGGCGACACCATCTACTTCCTGGAAACCGTTCTCAGACAATTTGGCACGATACTGAATAACATAGTAGGACACAGGTTCTGGGTTGCCGGAGTCCCAAGTCAGGGTGACGCTGGTAGCCGTGGTTTCTGTCACAGTGAGGGAAGTGGGCATCTTGGGAAGAGCTGTCAGAAAGCAGAGACAGACCGAGTCAGAAAAACACGTTTCTCTACTTTCTCCATCTACATTATTCTTCCTCTCCGTCAGGAAAGTCACCCGCTGATGCCGGGTACACAGAGCTGTTCAACATCGCCAATCTAACACTTCATTATTATTCAGCTTGCTTCTGTCCTTTCCTGATCTGCGCCGGGCCAGTATTATGTTGCCAAGCAGATGGGTGCATGTCCTCCTATGTAAATCCATCTATAGTCATCCAGACCTGAGCTGCAGATCATCAGAAGTGCATCTACTTAATGCAGCCACACAGCAGAGCCTGGATTTTAACAGGATATAAGATAAGTTGCATTTTCTCATAGAAGGGAGGAAAGAAATCCCATCACTGCTTTGTAGATTAAACTTATATGTGTGCGTAAAACCATAATGACTGTTACAACATGTGGACGGGCATGTTTATTAGCTGCATTCATACATAGCGCTTGTGTCAGGTGAGATGTGCCGACTGCAGTGGGTCTGCTGATTGCAGAGTTCAGCTGTCTGTGGAGATCGTAACAGCAAAATGCAGGCAGGCGGTTCATCCACAGACACAGTAAATGGTATTTGGCCCGAAACTTTAGCTGCTCCTCAGTTCTGCTTCTTCTCCTGCGGCTTTTTTTGTTTTAATCACCTCCCTGCAGAGGAGTCAATGCTAAAGTGTGGCTTCACTCAGGATTTGAACCTTGTGGTAATCTTGCTCTTTTCTTAAAACATTGTACTTTCCACACTTTATAAAATATACTATATGACTGACATGACCTGCAGACACAGGCCAGAGTTTGTGCTTCTAAGACCACTTGAATTACAATATTTTCTAGTCCTAAAATACTTCTTAAGTTATTATCTTCATTTTGTTACAGATTTGCACGAAGCAAAGCATCTTCCAAAGTAGTGACGGCCAACTCAATTCAATAAATCTACTCAACCATCTAACAAATAGAAAATGGTAAAAGATCAGAGGCAAGAAATAATGAAGCTATCGTATCAAAGACTTTATTAATTATAATTATTCTCTTGCTTTGTTGTTGTCACTCAGTCAGCTCATTCTGTATCAAAGTGTTATACTGAATATGAAGTTTGACAAAGAGAAATAAAAACAGCCTGGATTAGAAACACATGGTGGCAGTTGGGACTTTGAGCTCAACCCTGTGAATCTGTGAGCTGGTCCAAAGCAGAGCAGCGGGGTGCAGAAAAGCTCACGGGTTGCCTTTTGGGATGAAACCAGTGCAACCACAGGCTTTTAGCTCTGCTGCTCCAGTCCTGACATCTGCCTCATTTTCATGCAATGCAGCCAAGCTCTTCTTCTTCTTTACAAACGCGTGAACCCCAGCAGGCTGGGACAGAATGAAGCCGTTGCTCCTCATGCAGTTCCCATCATCTGTTGCCACAATATCTGATACAGTTCCCTCTGAAAAACAAGCTCTAAGAGCTTCAGTTTATGAAAAGCAAATAAAAGTAAAAGCACAGCTTTTTAAAAATGAGATCTGCTGATGAGATCTGTCTGTCACCTCGAGTGCTTGAAAATGATTTCTGACTGCTATCTGGAGACATTTTCCTAACGTCTGTTTCTACTGTATGGCTTCAGTGTGTCATGTGGGGCTGCTGCTCTCCTTTTTTCTTTTTAAAACAAATATTGTTTTAATGCAGAAAGTAGTTTCTACTGTGATGTGTACAACAATCCCTCCTGTGCACTTTTCTCATGCTACTGTTTGTATATTTTCACCAACACTGCAAATTCACAGCTTTCACCTGGTTTCAACAGGAAAACCAGACTAGGAGAGACTTCAGGCCCCTGGAGCCACTGTTACAGGAACACAGCTACGGAGGAAGTGGCAAATTTTACTGACACAAGTGATCCAAACAAAAGCCAATTTATTATTTTTAAAGAAAAGTCCTATCAGAGCAGCAGAGGTACGAGTGTGACCATTTATGTAAAGACAGATTCACGGCACAGTACCTACACTGGACTTTCAGCCAGGGCACTGGGGTTTATCTAAGATGTGAAACATTGGCTTTATATTTTTTTCTGTTTATTAGTTTCTATTTGGCTAGAAGTGGAAAGAAAACCCATTTTTAAAAAGGTAGGATTAGGAAAGAATAATGATTTAGTTTAAATGCTAAAATCATTATTATCCAACTGTTGCGCATATTAAAGAGCTCTTTGGCACATAGCCTGAAATCAAACTTCTCCCACACACAACCAGCTGCTGCTTCATATTTTTGTTCATCAAACTGTATATAAAATAGGACCGGGATCTGAAAAGTGCAGCTAATGCAGCAGGGACTGAAACCTGTTTGATCTTATTAGCAGGGTGCATCTCCTCTGCCAAAACAAGCCAAACTGTACGTGTCTATCAGAAAATGATCCCATTGTTCACCTCATTTATAATCTCAGCAAACACTGCAGATGAGTTTATGTCCCAGCTGTTAGTCCAGACCTTCCCAAAGTGTGGGGCCCCATTGCAGGGGGGGGAGTTATGAAAAGGGGGGGAAAAAAACAAACAAAACGCTTGGACACTGCTAGCACGGGGCGCCCACACAAATGCAGAGCAGGAGATGAAGCATCGCTGAATATGTTTCATTCTGAGCCAAAGACTAGAAAATATGGTGAAGCAAATCTGCCCTTTGGCTTCACCTGCACAGGTGCCGAGGTAGGTCTCCCTGCAGGGTTGGTTTCCCCTGCGTCTGGAGCAGCGCTGGGCTGTTTAGATCACGGACAAACAGGATCCCACATTCGTGATTTTTAGCGAACATTTTTCTTGTAAAACGAAGGGGGGCCAGCAAAAAAAGTGGGAACCACTGTGTTAGTCTAAGATATCACTGAATACTTTTATAGAAAAAGTGTGTGTGTGTGTGCGTGTGTTTACCAGTTATATCTGAAATGGCCAAAATGCTCAACCAGAAGCTTCCAAATACATTTAGAGCTGATTCAGGCGTGTACACGTGGTAAAGCTGACTGACTAAAGTTCAAACAGAGCATCAGGAAGGGGGAGAAGAGTGATTTAAATGACTTTGAACGTTGCTTGTGTCAGATGGGCTGGTTTGCATTTTTCAGAAATTGCTGCTCTTCAAGGATTTTCCACAAACACCTCGAGACCAAGAGGTGGTGGAAGGTATCCAGTGAGCAGCAGTCCTCTGGGCAAGAATGCTTTGCTGATGCCAGAGATCAGAGGAGAGTGGACAGACTGCTTCAAGCTGACAGAAGGACAACAGCAACTCAAATAACCACTTGTATGCAAAACACAGACCTTGAATCAGATACAGCAGCAGAGAACTGCACTGCGTGCCCAACACAGTACTTTCATTTAGCCTAAAAGTAGCCAAATGAAAGTAAAGAAATACTGATGGACACAAACCCCTCAGCCTCCTCGTAGATACACCTCCCCTCAGCCTCCTCGTAGATACACCTCCCCTCAGCCTCCTCGTAGATACACCTCCCCTCAGGCTCCTCGTAGATACACTCCCCTCAGCTCCTCGTAGATACACCTCCCCTCAGCCTCCTCGTAGATACACCTCCCCTCAGCCTCCTCGTAGATACACCTCCCCTCAGCCTCCTCGTAGATACACCTCCCCTCAGCCTCCTCGTAGATACACCTCCCCTCAGCCTCCTCGTAGATACACCTCCCCTCAGCCTCCTCGTAGATACACCTCCCCTCAGCCTCCTCTGGTATTACTGCATTATTGCTGCTTCGTTCTTGAGTGATCGCATTCAGATGATTTTTAGAAAAGCTGAGTTCTGACCTTGAGGTTGAATTCACCAAGATTCAAAGATTCATCAGAGGTTTTAGTTCTTGCATTAACTAGATTTTCAGAAAAGTTGACCTCCGACTTCTGACCTTGAGATCAAGGTTACAGGAATTTGAACTCACCTGAGATTTTTAGTAGATGCACCTATCATATCAGTTTCACCCAGGTGACTTCACAAGATTTTCATAAAACTTGAAGTCAACATCAAGGTCACAGATTCAAACTCGTCCAATATTTCACACCTATAGTATCAAGTTGAAAGTTCACACACTTGGGTGTCCACACTGCCTGCTCCCAGCTGCCCACCCGGGTGGTGACGATAAAAACAGTGTTTTATTGCTGAGGGATAAAAACCCACAATGAATCAGTTAGTGGAAGAAAAGGAAAAGCAAATACAAAACACAAAGGTCCAAAAGCAAACCACATGATAAAGCAATGACTTTCATACTAACATAGACTTTCTACATATCTAAGTGTCCCTTCTGATTGGATTACAAGATTTGCAAGACATTTAATGTGAGATTCCTACTTGAGCAGTGTAGAAAACAATGAGCCTGCTGTAACAAAATATGTCAACATCTACTATTATAAAGTTTATTATAAACTGCAGAAAATGTCCCATATCTAAACTAGAACTGGTTCTACCAAAAACTAAAATGACCTGATTTGACCTGCGATAACTAAAGATTACAGCTGCAGAGCTACGAGCTCCTGTTTTCTCAATATAACAAAGATACTAGGAGCACATTTCTGCTGCTGTTGCTTTTTCTTCAGCTGATCGTCCTGTATGAAAGCTTTCTATGTGTTAGTCCACTCACACCGCTGCTCCTGTCAGTCAGACATCATCAATAACACAATACATCCAGAATCTAAAGCAACACAAATCCTGACGTAAGAAGGATTTTGTTGCTCGAACAAGAATAAATGTATCTTCATTTTTTATTAGAGTACCACCTCAACTATATGGACACTGTAAATGAAAAATGGCACTTGACTTTATGTTATGTTAATATATTCTGCTTTTTGCTGAGGCTATTACACACAGGATTGGGGATTTGCTTTGTTAATGAACACTAAATGACATGCAGGTTTTGCACTGCAGCGTCTTTCCAAGCTGTCCAAACATGTTCAAATATTGATATTATTTGTTGTGTCAGAGAGTGCATGTAAGGAGCTTTATGCATACTTTATTTGACCCCACTGCTGCTGCCTCAGTGGGGCTGGGCAAAGCCATCCTTATCAAAGGCTCAGTATTGTCCAAAGCCAAATTCATTGATCTGCATTTGCATTACCAAGGCACAGCGATGTGCTACGAAGACAACAATTCTCTCTTAAATAGTGACAGCATCTACATTTGGAGTTGGTTGTTAGCCAGGTGAACATGCATCGTATTTTCTTCTCCCCTATTTCTCCTTTATGTTGCTGGTTAGGTTTAGGAAGGTAAACTTTGTTATACTAAGAAAAAGGTCAGTGTTTGGTTTAAAACATGCTCCACTCCAGCCCTGCAGCAGAAAAACTGACTTTTTTGGTCCTTTAAAGGCACCATATGCGACAAGATCTGAAATCTGGTGCACGTATTCCAGGTTTAATGATGACTGATGACATTTGCGCACCTCCTTCACGCGTGATCACATCAGCAAGTTAAATAGGGCCTAAAGTATGCGCTGCAAAAACATCTAAGAGGCTGTTGGATGATGACCAGGAGCTTCATGAAGCCAGCGCAAATTACGCCAGGCAGAACTGCATTTTGATTTAAGAAAACTTCAGCACTAAATCTGAGAGTCACACAATCGGACCAATTAATTTTTCTCCACTGTTCACCGGGATCATATCACACGCCATCCCACCCCCACAAAGGTGAGTGTTTCTTACCCTTGACTGTGATCTGAGCTGTAGTCTCGATCATGCCCAGGGAGGATATGGCCACACAGGTGTAATTGGCAGATTGGCGGATGTTGGTGAGCTCCAGAACATTGCGGCCAATGGGCATCTCATCCTCCCGGGTCAGCTCCACTTCACCACTTATCCACTTGACGTAAGGCATGGGAGCGCCGACTGCGACGCAGGTCAGGTTGACGCTGCCTCCAGGCATCACCTCATGATTGGTGGGGGGGATGGAGAAACGGGGCGGCACACGGCGAACTGTGGGAGTACAGAGGAGCAGAGTGAGAGGGGACAAAGGAGAGGGGCGGGGTGTAGGGACCACTGGACTGATTCAGTGTTTGACTGGGTTGGCTTTTACTGTGCACTGTAGACCAGTGTGAACTGGTCAATGAGCCTGGTGGAGTTTTACAGTTTGTGTCTGTTTTATGCTTTTAAAATGTTGAGTCATCTTAAAGCCAATTTCTGGTCAGGAATTTCCCTCCAACCAGCTTCGCATGAGATGATCAACATGTTGTATTAAAATAATTAATACATTATTAAAATTACTGAATAAAAAACTGGAAATTATGAAAAGTATGGCTGAGATTAAATTATTAAATTAATAAATTGCTGAACATAATGGGCACATAAATGAAATAGCTAGCTAACGTTTTAAATAAAACAATGCAAATCATTAATTAATGTATATTGTAAGGTCTTGTTGCCATGGTTACTAATATGTCACATGTTAAATGAATTATTTTGGCAAAACTTTTTTTATTTAACCTTCTGTGCCAATGAAGAGCATTTCATTTAAACACCAGCGATTAGCAGTGAGCCATCCATGGTAAATACCAATGATCGATGTTAAAATATCGATTCAGTCTTTTATGTTCTAGAATTGATTCTCACATTAAAATATCGATATTTTAGTCATTTAGGGTAAATCTGTAGTTTATCATTAACAGGAACACAGTGGAAAGAAACTATCATTGGGAGGAGGAGGAGAAGGACGGGTGGTGCTAGGGCGAGACAGACGTCTCAGGGAGTCCTTTAGTGCTGCAGGCAGGGTGTTCAAATAGCCACAACTTCAGGTTATTTATTTCTATATGATAATTCTGCATTATTAAGTGATAAGAACAAGTAATCTGATGTCCTGTAATCATTATGATGCTATAATTTGAGATACAATAAAACATTAAGGTTTTGTACCAGTATCAGATCAGTATCATCGATACCAACACTAACGCCACACTGATGGAGGTCTGTGGGCTGTGAACCTAAAACTGGGACTGCATGTGACAGCTCCTCTGTCTCACTTGGAGAGGTTTTCATTTGCCAGAAATATCTGACTGAATCATTACACTGCTGTGGTCATGTGCAGAAATGTGTGCTTTGGAGAGCCATCTATTGATTATACTGAGTAGCAGGTTCTGCATAATCTCAAGCAGTGGAAGCTGCAAACACAGCTTTAAGTGGGCTTTAAGAAATTCAGTTTCCTTTATTTGCTGTGTGAGTGGGAGAAGGAAGGTTAACACAGGGCTGACGTGTCAGACATGAGAGAGTTTCAACCCTGCTAACAGTAACCACATTTCTCCAAAATATAATGGTTGTGACTGTGACTGTGGTTAAGTGGTGCAGTTGCTAAAACCAGTAGACGAACTGGTTTAATACATACGCTAATAGTTTTGGATGGTTGATCCAGTTGAAAACAAATATACACATTTAAACTGAGAGGTGTTGTTAAAGAAAGGACGTCCTTGCATCCAGTGTGCTACGGGCCAGATGAAGAAATATTGGGAATCACCGCCGTAGGGTGCCACGTTCACCGAGAAACTGGGTAAAATGAGAAGCTGTGTTTAAAGCATGTAACTGGATTTCTCTGGAAAATCTGGGGTTTCCTGCTGGGCTGCAGGGATTAAATTGCACCTGGAGTCTAATGCGCGGCAAGGCGGTAGAGTTTCCATCGTGTCGTGATGCTAAGGCACAAAGTGTGCTGGAGCGAACGTGGGATAAAGATTCTCCTCCAGTGTTAGCTCTCATCCCTGGAAATCTCCCCAAAGTGTTTGGATCTACTTCCTCATTACACAATGACTGAATTAGTGCAACAGTCCTGTGTGCACATCAAGTCAAATGCAGACAGCTCTGTTGCATAAATGAAGTCCTTGCTCTTGACTTAGGCGAGTACACAGTCACGAAAATCTGACTCACAAAGTGTAATTTAAGCCCTGAGCCAGCGTGTTGGTGTGAGAAGCTTACAGTGTGGATCAGAGGCTTTTCTGGGGTTTCATTGTGGTTTAACTAAAGAAGAGGAAGCGCAGGGTTACACATTCTAGCCCTCACTGTAAAAAAATCTGATGTAACAGGAGAAGCGGTGAAGTTAGAAACTCGGAGTTTTCTTCGTTTGCACATAGTGTTGCTGATCAATGACTGACAGCATCCAGAGTGCTGGAGAGCATGCGTGGGCTAAATGTTACTGTGGTGCAAGAGATAATGCAGCATTCTGGGTGCTGCTCATACAAGAACAGCATTGTTTGCTGACATGGTAAGCTGCAGGCTCAGAAATGCAGATGGCTGGCATTAAGACAGATTCCCAAGGAGAAAACTAATGTGGAGGAGGAAGAAGAGAGGAGACAGGGCAAGCAAAAGGAGGAGGAAGAGTAGGCGGAGGATTCAGGGGCTGCGAGCTCAGTTAGGTCAATTCTCTTACTGCTGCTAATCACGTATTTTATTTTGGAGGACAAACACGCTGAGGATTTGATTAAAGGTACAAAAAGGTCAAATGAGAGTAAAAATACTTTTAGGGCTGGAACCGCTATTCATCACTGACAATAACTCGAAGTTACTTCAGACCAGTAATTCTAGCTTTACAAAGATAGACACAACATGCTGAGCTGACGTTTTAATGGCAATGTTATGACGTATTTTTTGCACTTGTGTTTAATCTGCAGGAACGGACTCTTCAGAGCGAATTTACCCTAAAATATTGAAGGAAGCTGCATCTCTCCCGCCAGGCTTTTACAGCATATGTGACAGTCTTGTAATGGAGGTAGTAAATTTTCAATAAGTGCACAGGAAAAGTCAGGCCTTGATTTCCCAACTGACCTTCCAACACACACACACACACACACACACACACACTTCACACAGGTGGCGCTTCCTGCTAATGTGGGAAGTGTTTCCTGCCAACTTTGTTTATCACGCTAAACGATTTAAAATCCAGACTGACTGAGATAACATCAGATAAACTTTTAATTTTACTCACAGCTGAGTGACAGAAATACGAGGCCGAAACCTGTAAAATGTGATTGCCAACTGTGATCTGTGTGTGTGCATGTGTGTGGCAGTAAAATCAAAACACTACAGCCAGCAGCACATCAGCGATCACAGTGACAGACACCATATCACTGTCATTACCTGATTCAACTCTTACCAAGACAAAGGGGGGGTAGGCAGAGCTCTACAACAGGGCATGTTAGCTTCAGCTGGCCAGCATTCACCAGCACTGAACTGTTGTTATTGTGTACACAGGGTGTTTGACCCTACAGACCGCTGCAAACATTTCAGTTTTACATGACATGAATGTAAGAACACAGCAGGCGTCGTAGGAGGTTTTTATATTTGTTCTTTTTATCCGTTCACAGGTGTTCAGAAGTTTGCAGGAGCTGCATTACATACGATTAAGTCCATATTACTTCAGTGAACCCACCCAATGCTTAATATCAACACGGTGCTAAGATTAACTCACTCGTGCAATTTGTGAGTAAAGTTCTGATCGAAATACTGCAGTTATTTTATATTTTGACATATATACCTGCAGCTGACATGACATGAAGTTTTTTATTTCTTAGTTTAGTTTCTTGGTTTTGTAAAGTCCTACACAAGTCATCAAGTCAACCGATGCATTATTATTTTTGGTTATATTACCAGTTTCACAGGAAACGAACAAAAAACTAGCATGCTTCTGTCATCTGTCCAATAATGGGATACAGAGAAACTCACTGTCGAATATTGCATTTAATCTCCTGCCATGTTTATGACATATGAGTTACACTTGATTTATGGCAGATTTGGGAAATTCTTTAGAGATACAAGCCAGAAATGTTTATGTAAATCTTTTAGCATAGCAGCTCGATAGGTTTTGGGAATCAGTCCATAAATATTCAAAAGCCTTACCTGATTTAACTCGATCGTGGTTATGTTTTGAACACTTCCAGATGGTTTGCAGGGTGGCTGCTATTTTTAGATCCCTGGAAATCTGTTTCTTACCACCTGCACTTTCCGATTTTATCATCTCAAACTTGTTGAAATCACACATTAACTTCTGCCTCAAACTAACTCACAGCTTTTGTGAAGAGGTGGTTAGCTCACTGGTTGAGCCTCACGGCTGAAATTCAGCGACCGGGCGTGAGTCCGAGCTCTCTCCCCCTCTTTCCTGTTTCCCACGGCTGAACCGTGAAATAAAAGCAAAACGTCCAAAAAACTTCAAAAAAACAAAACAAAAACACTTCATGTGAAGGATCTTTGGTAATAAAGAAGAACAAAAAACAGACATGAACAGTTTGGGGAACACAATTCACACGTCTACTCACTAGATTTGTAAACTTTGTAAGAGGAAGAGTCACCAGCGTGGAGAGACATACAAACAGAAGCTGCACTGGATGCTTATGTATGTCAGATTATTTTGAGCAGAGACAAATGTATATTTTTAATTTTGTTTTGTTCGAGCCAATTCCCAGAACTTTTTGCTGCAGTTTGTGTTTTTCCTTCGTGTTCTTTAGCTCCTGCTGTGGTGTTCCTCAGGCACATCCAGCCCAGGCAGGATGTATGATTCCTCCCAGCTTTCTTCTAGCTGTGCGTGCCGGGAATAACTCGATAGTGAGGAGTCTAGCAGGTAATCAGATACACCTGACCCACGTGATCTGACCTGCCAGTGTGGAGGAGCAGCACTTCTAAGATCAGCTTCTTCAATAATTCTGAGCTCCACAAGCCAAGAGTGAACCTAAAACTCATTTCCAAGACTTGTATCCAGAATCTCATTTTTTTGCTTATGATCAGAAGTCAAGGCTAAAACAAGCTGGACTATGTGCTTGAAGAGTTATTCAGCTTGTTTTTCATGCAACATCCACAAAACTGTTACTGAGAATGCAGGTTTTTATGTTTAGTTTAGTTTTTGTTCATCATCTCCGTCTTAAATAATGGTCAGGTATAAAAATAATCCCCAACACTCACATTAAAATCGATGTTTCGTGTCTAGTCGACTTTGTTGGGGCTTCTAAAAGCATCGTCCTGCAGCACAACGTGGAGGATTTATATTTGTGCTAATCAGAGCTTTTTCATATGTGAATGTCTGACATGTGATGTGACATCAGTGCCGTCCGACTGGTCTCAGCTCAGAAATACTGCAGTGAGCTGGTGTCTGAAACACACACGTAGAAAACAGGTGTGGAAAACATCCTGAGCTGATTCTCCCAGAACGGCCTTCAGTCCCGTCAGCGAGGCAGAATTGGCTGTAACAAGTAAATGCTAGTGTTTTAGAGTACTCAGATTACTTTATTTTAATAGGGTAACATAATAACTTATTAGTTACAAATTACAACGTCATGGTTTTAGGGACCCGTTTGTTTTTTTACTATATTATTATTGTTAATATTATTAATGGTAGTATTAGTATCGATTCTTAATTTATTATTATTATATTATATATTATTATATATATTTAGTGTCTATCAGTTGCCATAAACCATGTTACAGCCAATCAGGACAGTTTGCTAAATTCTGCTGATATACTTTTAACATTTGCAAGCAAAATTAAGTTGTTATTGCTGAACATCAGTAATAACTCACAGCAGTAACTCAGCAGCCTGAACTAATGTTAATAGTAAATTTGTTAAAGTGAGTGACTGAGCAGGTCGACCTACAGGGCTGAGGGAGAGCGGGCTGTACTGCCATGATTTTAGGCCTTTCTAAATCAAAGGTTGATGCTTCCCAGTACTGCAGGGTAACAGGTTCATTATTAATAGCCATAGTTTTGTAATGCAACGCGTTACTTCTATCATATTAGTGGGGGTCATACCATGTTCTCCTGCACTGCTTGTTACTCATATCACTGAGGATCGTTTGTTAGGCCTCCTTGATGGGACCGTGTGACAGATAACAGAAATCTAACCATACAGTGCATTTTACGCCTGCATGGTACTTCATCAAACTAATTCGTTTGCACTTGTCATATGAATGTTTGATTCAAGACATTTAAAACTGACGTGTTTGCGTTCAATACTTAGCAAAACTGTGAGACGGGTGCATGCTGGCCAGAACTGTGAAAATCATCATATTCTTATGTTAGTCAATTAAAAAGTCACCCATGGACATGGAGGATGGTCACACTACGATGACAGTTATCAACTCTGCAGTTAAACATGATGGTGTTACTGCAACATTTAATCTGGATGATGGCCTGATGGTGGATGTAGGTACTGAGTGAAACTGAAATCAAACTTAGTAGCCAAGATAACTTTGAATAGTAAGAGATACATGTTAAGACCAACAAGAGTTAAAATGCAGACAGACTCGTTTTTTTACTGGCATGCCAGAGAAAAGAGACGAGAGAAAGAAGGGAAAGGGAAGGAGAAGGGAGGAGGGATAATTGAGGCAAACTTCTGAAGCCAAGCCCGAATAAAGAAAAAGCTACAGTTGTAGAAGAAGCTAAGATGGAGAAGCTGCGATGAATGGGGAAGCGAACATCTGTGTGCACGGTGAGGGTGTGCATGCAGCAGCACAGGTGTAGAGGCAGCAGCAGCATGCTTGCTCGTGAAGAAATGAATGGGAGAAAGGACTTTTATACTAACTGGCATCTCTTTTCCCTTTAACTGGACCAACAGGAGCTCAGCTTTAAGTTTAATGTTCACTGTATCATTTTTTCCTTAATTTTTCATTAATAAGCCAAACTTTCCTTCAAGTGAACTGCAGGTTATAACACAGTATGCTGCCATTTGTTTAGAGATTCTGGCTGTTTTTCAGTTATGTGTAAAATATTAAACTTTGTAGAAGTGACTTTGCAGCCCAAAATCTGTTACGGGGTGTTTGCTTTATCAGCTCACTAGAAAATAAAGATGCTGGTACAATTATGTACTGCAACAGTTCGAATTTTTAAAAATATTTTTAAAAAATCAATAAGACATGATAACTATAATAATATGTTGCTGTAATCCCTGTAATCTACTGACTGATGTCACTTCTGACAAAATGAGAAAACAACAAACACCGTTAGTGTGAGAGAGGGTCCATGTTTGGGTTTCACATATTTGGATTCATAGAAATCAAGAAATGTTTGAAACATAACAGCAGTGCAGCTGAAAACACAAATGAAGCTACACAGATTTCTGTGAGGCCTTTTAATCTGCATGGTTTGTGATCAAAGTAAAGAAAGACTTTGATTACTGCACAATGTTCGTGTTGGCTGACCGGTGCAGCTGATCAGTGTCTGCTGGGGCTCACCTCCTCCTTATAGTGTTTGCAGTATTAGTGAAATATTTAATTTTTGTTAAGGACATTAGATGACAAATTATCTGGTTAGCTGTGTAGCGCAAATTTTCCACGACTTTGCTTCTATTTTGGTGAGTAAAGTTCAAATATTTTATTAGTCTGTTACTTAACACTAATTAGCAGCTCTGTGTAGGTGTGTTGTCCATATACAGCCTATGAAAGTTGCGAGCGCTAGCTCATAGCTTAGCACTCCAGTCTCATTTATGATAACCTCTGGCTCCAAAAACCCAACACTGGTCATGGGTACACTGCTAAGGCCTCAATATGTTGGTGACCGTCTGCAAACAGCCAATTGCAATGGAAAAATGTGTTGTTGTTGTTGTTGTTGTTGCACTTGCTTGTGTGAAACTAGTCACAGGTGGTCTATGGTACCAAAAACCTCCTTCTGGTTGTTCTGGTCGCTAGTAGGAAGTCGTACTTGGCGGCGTTAGCTTCCATGAAAAATACTCGTCTGCCAAGTAACACTGAAACTGCGAAAACTGCAGCTCAAACTGGAAACAGAGAAGCTTTTTCAGACTTCCACTGCGGGGCACCCTGCTAGCAACCAAAACAATCAAAGAGCTTTTTGGTGCAGCCCTCTCGCTGCAGCTGATTGCAGCCAGCTGTCCAAAACCCCTCACCACCATTTCCCCTGCGACCAGATGTTGCTGATGTATCCAAAGGATTTCATGGACTTGTTGCATCACGACACATTTACTGTTGTTGTTCTCGCACAGTTTGCTTTTTTTTATAGGACTCACATTTAATACATTTTGATGATAACCGGGTTTGACTGGATTGCATTTCTCTTTTTAAATGAGAACTCACTGCAAAAAAGCTTTTTCAGAATCATATAAACACTATTAATTGTTCCAGTCTTCTCATCTATTTACTTTTATTGCTTCTTTAATTTTAAATGTGTCACTTCACCTTGGAAAGTAATCTGTCAGGATTAAATTTAACTTCCCCTTTTTGAACAATCAAGAATAACACAGTTGGTCAAATTAGCTAAATAATGTTATGGAGATTTAAAACTAAGTGCAGCATCGATCGGCACCATTCACTGACCTCAGATATAAAGACAAGGGAAACAAGCGGCACTACAAGGCTGTAAATTCACATATCAGACACAAACACTGGGGCTAGAGCTGCAATTCTCTCCTCTAGTAGTTCACTTCCACTTCTGAGCTCCTCCACATTCTGCTATTAATGATCCAGCAGTAAGAGTCTTGGAAAAAGCTGTAAACATGTCTGAGGCTATCTTTTCTTTCTTTCTTGCAGAGTGTAGTTCTGTAGCAGACGAGAGGAGAGAATGGTGAAAGCAGTGTGAGCTCAGAGCCTGCCGCTCAGCCTAATGATGGTCAGGCAGCAGATGAGAGCTGGGATGAGCCATGCCTTTGAATTAGCCACGACAACAAAAACATGATCAGCATGCTGGAGAGGACCTCATGAGACTGATGCAACATTTTGTGAAGTGAGCACAAACTCTGAAACCAGAGATGTTATGCAAACACTCTGCTCCATTTTAACCAGGAAAGTTGTGAGGCGTGTGAGACTGGCACTACATGTGTCATCATCGTGTCACTGTCCTGAAAAACAGCTTTATAAGAAGGGCAAAAATCTTGCACGACAGTTAGGCTGTTAAGAAGGTTTGTCAAAGAGTAACCAGGCTAACAACTGATTCGCTGTCAGATGTTCTAAGCTATGATATCCATGAGCCTGATTTAAGGTAGACTGTTGGGTTACTCAGAAAAGATCAGCTTCATTTTCCAAAGTTTTTGGTCGTAGAAAATCATTTGCAACTGTGGAGCTGGTCTGTTTAAATGTAAATATTCATGATCCCGTCAAGCTTCTTGTCCACAGTCGAAAATCTAACATTAATAATAATAATAATAATAATAATAATGTGTGTTGGACCTGTGTATGGAAACACATTACACTTACAGGAGCTGTTGGGCTATGAAGCCCACTGCCTGGATGACTTTTACACACAATGTGGATTCAGTGACCCCACTTTACATGTCCTGCCACTGCATGGCTGATTTGCTTTGGTTCCTAAACACTTCCTCTTTGGCATATCTAAAGGGAAGAAACTTCACAAACTGATTTGCTGGATTGATGGCTTCCTTTACAGTAACATGCTCAAGTTCAGCGAGCTCTTCAGAACAGCCCATTCTTCTACAGCGTTTCTACACGCAGACGGCGCGGCTAAATGCTTCTTGTTTTAAACACATGCTGTCGTTCTAATCAGGCATTAGATCATAATTATCTTCCCTTTCCTGCAAGTTCACCAGGACAAGTTTGAAATCTTTATTCCCAATTTGCTGTGGTGTACAGGTTTGTTGCCTTTGTAGAAAATACAGCAGCTCCCTAGACGCCTTACAACACCAACTCAGTGCCACGTCCTCAGTGTGATCCTTTCCTGGTGGGAAATTCACTTTTTAATAATGTGCATTTATGACATTTAAAGTAAGACATGCTCATTTCACATTTTTTAATGAAGCAGGGTGCATAGAGCAGGATGTGATGCGGCTCATATATTAAAGCAGGGTGGGGTGGGTTGAACATCAGTGGAGGTGAGGGGCAGGGTGGTTGCACTGTAGGGTTGGGGTCCTGAGAGAGGCCGGGACGGGCCTGAGGCGCCAAGCGAGATGCAGGCGCGGCACGGCTCCAGTCTGCCAGGCCTTGGCTTTAAGAGGGTAAAGAGTGAAAGAACCAACCTTCCCGTTGATCTGAGTGGTGAGATTTGGATTGGTTTTTTTGGATGGCGGGGTGCAATGGCGATGGAGGGATTTAAGATAAAGTGAGAAAGAAAAAAAAGAAACAACGAGAGGGGCAAAATAAGGAGTGGGAGGAAGAAGACAAGGAGAAACAGAGAGAGTAAAACAGGCAAATATCTGCTTATCCGTTAATGAGTGAAAAACAGCCTGTACACATCAGTGGCACGCACACACACACACACACACACACACACACACACACACGCACACACACACACACACACACACACACACACACACACACACACGCACACACACGCACACACACACACACACACACACACACACACACACACACACACACGCGCACAAACACACACACACACACGCACACACACACACGCACACACACGCACACACACGCACACACACCACACACACACACACACACGCACACGGCATGTAACAACCCAACGCAAACCCACCATGCACACAATGAAAGATACACTCTAACGTAACAAGAATAAGGCACACAGGGAGATCTCACAGTAAGGACCCCCCCGACCCCCCAGTCACACACACACTTTCCCTCCCTGTCTTTAACACTGCTGCAGCAGCTGAGCCCTCCACAGCCTGTGAATTAAGACAGCATTAAGGAGGTGGAGGCTTGCTGACAACCAGACTTCATTAGGCACACAAAGCAGACGTTGTGTTACCGCTCACATTTATTCTGCTCATTGACTGTGGGGGGAGCTCAGCCACACAGCACCCTGAAATCAATGAGCACATAAACATGCTGCCCTAACAGGATTAATCCAACACTCACCTTGGAAATTATTCTACCATGAACCCAGTCCGTACTTAGAGCAGATTCATTTGTATGGAGGCGCTTCGGATTAGCTAACACCGAATTCAAAGGACACTTTTTTACCCACTAGCTGATGAAAAGATAAACATTGATTAAAAAACTGTAGTAACAGAGTTGTAAATCTGCTAAACCCTCTGAACCTGTGAATGTTCCTCTCACCCACAGACAGAGCAGATACCGGGAGCACTGAGAATGGAATAGAATAGAATAGAATAGAATAGAATAGCCCTTTATTGTCAGTGTACGTGGGAAAAAACTTTGAATTTTGGGTGGATCCACATTTGGACATTGACACAATCATTGATATTTTTACAGTTATATAGTAAATACGAGCCTAAAGTGCAAACTCTCAGCTTTGATTTGAGGGTATTCATCTTTACATTCATTTACCGCGGGCTGCCAGGATGAAGTAAGTAGAGATGCTCAAACCTCTCTCCCCCTAGGCACCGCCTTAAGCTTTTCTGGGGGAAATTGCACTGTGTCTGCCCCAGGTGTGTCAGAAACCCCTCACCTAGGAGGTGCTGGTCATATGTCTGAAAGCAGTGCCTTTACTGCGGCCTCTCCTGAAAGGTCCATGGAGTAAACTAAGAGAATGTCTGGAGGAAGCTCATTTCTACTGCAAGGATCGGCAGTCCAATTCTTTTGGTCACTATCCACAGTTCCACAGTAGGCAGTAAGGGTTAGGGTTAGTAGATCAACCAGTAAATCAATGGCTCTCCCTTTATCACGAGGGACCAGTCTGTCTGTTATCATCATGCTCGACTCCTCCTCCATGCTACAGTATCAGTATTTCCTTCATCTGTTGAACAATAATTTCAACTCAACCGTTCTGAGTGATCACAGGATCCTTGTGATGGTAGAGAAACACTATCAGGAGGTAGGAACAGCATTATCCACAAGTTCACCACGCTGTGAAAATTTCAGATCAGTCTGTAACAAAATTCCAAGAGAGAAACTTATAGACTCATCATCACTGACTAAAAACATGCTGAAGACAGTACGAAGTCAGGGCATGTTTGACTTTCAGTGGCACTGAGTCACTGCTGTTTACTGATGATGTGACATATGACAGAAGTGTGAATTCTGAATTGGGCGACACGCCTTCTGCTCAGAATCAGCATATTTCTGCAGGATTGATAAGACGGAGCAGATGGGAACATACGTAATGACCCAAAACATGCTTGAAAAACAAACCCAGAAGTTTTTAGAGGTAAAGTGGCTGACTGTCAGTCGAAGGCTGGCGAAGAAAAGAGCTGCAGAAAAGTCTGGAATCAAAGAGTCATAAAGAGAGCTGTGGTTTCAGGGAGGCGCTTCCTGCAAAAGATTCTGGACAAACTATTAAACAGAAACATTTTATTCCTGATTATGTGAATTTGCACAATGACCAGTTGTTTGGTGGTTCATTGGTTTCAACCCCTTGAAATAAAGCTGAGAGTCTGCACTTGCAGCATGATAGTTTCATTTGAACTTCACTTGTGTCACTGTCTTAAGAACCAACTGTATTTTCTGTATATTTTACAAGCTTTACATAAGCTGCATTGACTTACACATTTTTAGGCAACTTAATAACGAGGCTTTTCCAGTAAGTTAATGAATTTAGAGGTTTTGAGATGCTGCTGATGTAAGACTTGCCATCCATTAGTGCCACAGCTTACTGGAAAGAAAATATTGTAAAAACAAAAACAAAAAAACCTCAACTGTCAGTCTATAACCCACAAATGACAGGATCACACGTCTGTGGAACTGCAAACTTAATACTAAATGAAGGCTTTTAATTTCTTCCCTATTTTTACAGCTTTGAAAGCTCAACAAAAGTTAGTGAACCTTCAGTAAATATGAATTACTCTTTGCATTTTTATCCAATTTTCTCTATATAGGCACTAAAATATTATTAGACCCCATCAATGGTATGGTTGTGTTAAAGTGCATCTTTAGGACACTAAAGCCAGTTGATCTGCAATGTTTAAGTTAAAGAAATATTTAAAAGCTAAATGGACCAAAGAACTTCCTGTGCTTTCCAAGTAATGTCTTAAACGTGGACTAAATATTGACACACATTCACTCCCAAAATAGTCTCTCACGTCCATCAGAAGAAGAAGTGAAAACAAAGCATGTTAAACAATAAAATGCAGCTGCCTTCATGTGCAGATAGGAGGATAAGCATCGAGACATGAGAAGTAACATATACGGTCAAAGTATATGACTGACACCTGAGTGGAAACGAGGCCAGAGCGACAAATATAGAGAAAGAAACTAAAAAGAGATGAAGAGAGACACTGGTGGGGAAGGAAGACAGACACACTGCAACATATTTGTGACATATGTTGCAGTGATTGCTCAGAAGCCACAGTGTGAGATGAGAATGGAAACGCAAATACTGGCACACCTAGAGAGGTTACAGGTTAAATCAACAGAGGCAGGAACCTTGAAAAGAGAAGCAGAAACAGAACAAGTCACATGCTTTATCCCCTTAGCAGTCCTATTAGTCCCCTAAACCATCCAATGTCCCGTGGGCGGTACGTCCGACTGCTAACAGTTTAAGTTCTCACTTTGTTGGCTGCGGTTCCTGCTGGTGGCTCAGTGGAGGATGCGTCTTGTAAAATGACATCAAATATGTACATTTATGTGGAAACAAACAAAGTGTCCTCAAAGCTATGCCTGAACTTTCTTCACTACCGAGATGGTTAACTGACAGTTCTCTTTAGTTCCCAAAGGCAAGTTTTTTATGTTATTCTGAGTGCTGTGCTACGATCTGTTATTTGGAAAATGATGCACATGCCGTGTTAAGTAGATAAAAAATGTACATCTGTTCACACATATGTACTTTCAAGAAAGGCACACACACACACACAC